CGGTATAAAATTGCAGACATCTTGTGCAGAAATCTTCAGTAACATAGGGATGGAATGGAATCCCAAAATGTGCAGGTTCACTAGTTCAGCTTTTGGTAATGTACCTTTATACACACTTAAATATGTGAACTAAATCTCTTCCTCAACAACTAACCCTAATAAAATAACCACTGTCACATAGTTATACCTTTTTATTCTCTGCCTACTATAATTTCGCGGCAGGGTACTAAGCGAAATACAACCACAACGTTGCTGAGATATTTGCAAAGATCGATAGAAATAGCTGAGAGACAGGCGAAACAAAGGACCCCCATGGTGTGGTGGTGAACGCGTTACTCCCCGGAAAGGAAAATAGCGCGTTCGTTCCCCACCATAGACACCTGCGGTCCAGAGTTTTGCAAATATCTCAGCAACGTTGTGGTTGTATTTCGCTTAGTACCCTGCCGCGAAATTATAGTAGGCAAAAAATAAAAAGGTATAACATTGTGATTTCAACTACAGCCGCAGCTTAACTGGGTTCTATGCCGATTTGGGCGCCCGAGATCAATCCCATTGACGGGTGATTGCTGTGACAAAGATCGACAGAAATAGCTGAGAGACAGGAGAAACAAAGGACCCGCATGGTGTGGTGGTGAACGCGTTACTCCCCGGAAAGGACAATAGCGCGTTCGTTCCCCACCATAGACACCTGCGGTCCAGAGTTTTGCAAATATCTCAGCAACGTTGTGGTTGTATGTCACATAGTAACAAAAAATAGGCTCACCTTGTCAACAAGATCGGCAGCACAAGCTTTTTTTGCTGCCTATGTACCCGTTTCGGTATTTCATCTGGCATGGGAAACATCTGCTGCGTGAGCTCTACTACCGCCTGTTACCACACTGGTCGCATAGTGGCAAATCTCCCTCTGATTCACAAGGCCTGCGGCTACCAGTGGTGGTGACGACCTTGGGCACACTTTGGCCAGCCTGACCTCGGGATTCCAGGAAACCATAATGACCAAACCAGCAAAACTCCGAAGAATGAAGATTATGCTGGGGCCCGCACAACTAGTGAGGACGGACCTTCCAAGTATCTAGGTATAGTTGGCATAGTTAAATAATTGTACGATTATAATACAACTTGCAGAGTGTCACACCATTCAGTAAGATCTAATGAACCAAATTGGTGCGAAATTTAAATAAATGAGCCACACGCTTAACTTATTTGGGAAACTAACTGGGAAATTCCCTGAATAATTGGGACCATTATTTTATCGTCCAAAATAATTTACTCCGCTTCTTATCTTATCCGTGTAACTGTACTTGCTTTGTAAAAATGTGCAAACTCGCTAACAAACGGAAATTCCATGACTTTCGGCATTTAACGCGAAGTGACGCCAAATATTGCTTCGGGATCGACATTGTTTCCAATAAGTCGCCGAAAAATCGTCCAACAAACAGAAGTATTTGACTGAGATATTACCAGACTTCGTACTCAACCGTGTCTCGCATCCATCATCTTATTGACTAGTACCTTACCAGTGCCGACCTTAATCGTAGTGGTCAAGGTGAGATTTGGCAAAAAAAGCTAACTCAGCGAGAAATAAGTGGGTGAGACAAAAAGTAACTTAACAATGCTTACCTTTTTTTACAACTCACTGAGTAACGCAGAAGCACTTCTAGTGGAATCATACTGGAATTATGACGCCGATCTGTTGTGAATATTCTGAAAATGTGCTTGGTCCCATTGCAACATGATTTATCAATGATGAAGAAAAATCCAACTTCTTATTTAGCTTATTCGTTTGAGTTTCTCTCTGCTCTTTTCAGAACCCTCAGAGAATGATCGCAACCAAGAGCTTTATACCTCATTTCATATTCCTTTACAGGTGATATTGGTCGCAAGTGACTAACGGATAGCACTTATCGCATAGCCTTTATTATCAGTAATACCTCACAATATGACTAGAATGATTTGAACGTAAATGTAGGGAATCGAAGATGATAGATTACAAATCGACAATACTGCAGACATAAACGTTCATGTTATAGCGGCTCATTTTCCCTCTGCTTGTTCTTTTAAAATCTGTGAAATCTCTTGCAAGAGAGTAACTAGTCGTGATGCATTATATACCTTACGGTGGGAGAGTTGAGCTTAAGCGTGGTCCGGAAAACCCGTCCTGAAACATAGGTGGGCTCAATGACGGATTCCGTCGCTGGTGAGCGGGTCATATCGGTGTTGATACATACGTGGTTTCTGTCTTATATATAATTCTCGACCGAAAGACGGTAATCAAGCGCATGCAGTCTCCATGACAGGCAGTTTGGGAAGGCTTCCAGCACTTGGGCCTAAGAGAATTACCTCTTTTTTACTTTACTTTTTATGAGACGTCATCACATCTACAGCGCAGATCTTAGCACTTTGCGCATTCCAGTCGTTTCCTTGCATCCATCGTCTACAATGGTCTTCGAACACTTAGCGTGTTGTTTCAGCTGCCGCTTGAGGATTTTGTCTTCTTTATGAATAACATGGAATGGTGGTCGAGTCGATTCTTCTTCCAATCCTAAAGATAGCCTGGCTAAGGCGTTCACACGTGGTTTCGAGGAGAATGTTGGAGCGAGGACCGAACCCGTGCTTTGCCTCCTGATCGAAGGCATAGGTAGCCGTAGCACTATATCCGTACATTTGAAAACTTATAAGACATCAAAAATCTAAAAACCACGAAAAATTATAAATCGGATGGATTTGAACTAGTTTTTATACCCGAAAATAGGCTAGAAGGCTATGGGTTGTTATAACGCGCGACGCATTTAAATTCGTTGAGCATCCCAGTGGGCATTACATCGAATAACTTGCCCATGTTATGACTTTCTGAGGCACACGAACGAATAGAACTAGCTCCAACATGTATCTTCGAAATGAAATGTCTTACTCTACAGTTAATTTCAATAATGTGCCGTAGTTCATTGATAAGCTAACACGAAGTTGTTACCTGTACCTATCTACCCTGCGCTACCCTTACCCTAGCGGTTGTTACCCTTACCTATCTATTCGGTTCTTTCGGCGTCTAAGTCCTCATCATAGGCAATGACCCAAATTCATGACTCACAATCCATCGTCCTCGCTCTGTGTGTCTTCGTAGTCGCATCGAGTCAATTCTTCACGAGTGGAGCGCCGAGCCACCAGTACACCAAATATACCATAAAGTATTCAATAACCTCAATGACAAATATAGCTCAAGACATTATTGCCAAAGCGATCAATCGAAGCAATAAGCAAGAAGGAAGACGTTTTCCCAGACGACTGTGGATACAGTTGGCTCTGATTTGAGCTTACGCTTACGCTTCGGCTTGGGCTTACGTTCAGGCTTAGGCTTAGGCGCCGTACTTTGGCGTCCAAGCGACTTTTTGGGGGTCTCGACGACTTTCGGTATCTTAGAGCAAGTGGGTACACGTTCAGAAATACGATATCGGTCCATCGACACTGTTTCCGCACTTAGATTGGCGTTTCGGCGATTCTTGGGAGTTTTCGTCAGGTAAATCATTTTGCACGACTCTGTGGACACGTGCGGCTTCTTCTACTTCGGCTCAGGCTTAGTTACGTTCTTCGGTCAGCGATGTTTTTCCGTCGTCTCAGCGATATTCCGACTTTTTCGCTTAAAATTCGTGGGCGTTGGCGAAACTCGTCCACGAGCTCTACCACGCGCTAAAAATCGCGTTTGCGCCCTCGAATTTGCGTTTTCCGACTCTTCGCCGGCCAAATCATTCGAAGCTACAGTAACTCGCTCGATCAATATTAAAATACTTAATAATGCGTTTGCACAATTAAATTCGGCTTTTCCGGGGACTTACGGACTATTTAAAGCCACACCGACACAGGCACCTCCTTCTTGCCCCTAGCTGTTTCTCGATCTTTCTCGCTTAAACTGGGCTTTTGAGCGATTTCCTTGCGCGTCCATCGCCTTCCCACCCCAACCCTAAGTTTCATGAGCACCACTAAGTGATGTTCCTTTATGAACTAAGTGCAAGGTACTGCCGTTTTTTCGTTGCCTCGTTTAACGATGACGCATCGAGGGTATAGTTCGGTGGCAGAGTATTCGACTGCAGGTCGATAGGTCAGTGTTCAACTACGCTGTCACCTCAGTTTTCTAGACTGCTCTAAACACTGTATGTGTAGGTACACTGTACACTGTAGGTCGTAATTGGATACCATCACCAAATGTCTTTTTATGAACGAAATTTAATGTACGCCGATGTATCGAGCCAGTGCTGCTATACTCCTAAATAGGTCTGGTACCAATTTGCCGACGCCGGAGGGTTGGAAGGCTTGGTGGGCCATGGGCGCGGGATCGATTCTACGTGTGTCTCGCAGTGGCGCCTCGAACCACTGCTCCACACGCGCCCTGTAATTATGAAAATGTTCATTTATTTCACTGTGTGTTCTCAATGGAATTCTGGTTTTTGGCATACTTCGTATCTTTACCATCCCACTCGTTGGAGATTTCAATTTTTGCACTATGGACGGATATGCAAAGAAATTAGCGTTCTCCAAGAGATCTCCACCTAGAAGTTTTACAAATTATGCATTCTCTTAATGGGCTCCAGTGTGTTGAACTGCCACAAAACGATTTGTTCGGTTTTATTGTATTTTCAACAGTTTTTTTTGGTGTTAACATCACCATTTTGTTTAAGCCTGAGTCCGCCTTAGTATGTGAAATACCCCGCCCATTATCACTCATCAATAGTTACTCCTTAGTGTCTGCTCTATGTGCTGTGCTTCTCATTTCCATCTACCACTACTTTTAATAATTTTTGTTCCTTCCACGCCAGGATTTTATGAAACGATTTTTTGAATCGGGCTCGAAAAGAATGGGTTATTTTTAATCTAGTTCGATTTTTTAATGGCCTTCTGCCTTGCTTAGCTAAAATATTACTTATCTTAGAGCCTTACTTTCCTTTCTCGAGTTACCAGAAATCGTCGATTATTACGCTATCGTTATTCTTCATGAGCATTTCTTGAAGATGTTTCTGCAAAGACTTCGAGATGGTATAGCGCAATTAATGTTTGGCCTTCGAATGACAAATCCTCGCCAATGCATTCCACTTCTTCTGCTTCTCATCGTTGTCTTCTACTTATTCATGGGATCTGCTTGTTTCTGGTTCTTCGAGCACGACCATCATGAACAGAGTGTTCGAAAGTGGTACATGAATCTCGCTGTGAACAGGTATTGTGGAAAATAGCATTCTTTATTCGCTTTTTAGTCCCATTGTATGAAAAAAATGGTAATCGAAGTGTGAGCTCATTTTCTGCTACGAAATGAGACAAATGCACATAGTAGAGAATGCATAGAACTTTCTTTCTCTGCTCTCGAGTTGTTGTCGTGCCACTTAGCCCTTCTATAATTGACCGCGGAAAGATGTATTTCGTAACACGCTCATTTTTGGGAAAAATCCATGTTCACCTTAAAAATCTCGTCGATATTATCTGGTTTTTGTAGGGATATGTCGAATCACAAAAACTCTGAAGTTGACTTTAATAAAATGGGTGATATCAGTGGCTATGTGCTGACGAAAATCTAATACGCATATATTTTGCAGTGAGTGCGGAATTTTCTCCCTAGGGAACAAGGCGACTTGGGTATCATGACTCCTTTCCTTCCCTGAGCTCTTTACTTAGTCAAGTTATCGTCCTTATTGTGCACGTGAACACATTCTGATATTGTCAATATACCTCGGAAATCTTGGCGATAAGCTGCTAAAGTTTATAAGTATTTGCATGAATAGTATGAATGGCCCATCCTTACGAGTAATGGAAGTATCGGCAGAATTCTCTTCTTCAAACCAAGGGCAGCTGTCAGATGGCTCTTCCAAGCAGTTACTACAAACGGTTGTTGGCTGGTGTAGAGCGAAAAAAGCTTCCTATATTGCAACTACGTTGTTTCCTAGAAAGCGGTGATTTATGGTTTATGTTTACTTTTAGCTGGGTTCGAGATAAAATTTTCAAGGTTCTCTTGTTCATGTGACCTTACAACTACCACTATTTGTATGCTACCGTCACGGCTGTTTGGGATACTCTTATGACCCAATTAAAAATTATCTAACCTTAACCTACCGTTAACGGCTATCATAATGTTCTTCCATAATTGGAATATGGCAAAATGTACTTAACAATGAGTCGGAGAACCTAATTCTTGAGTGAAAGAAAGGCCAAGCAAGGGCGTCAGTTGGTGTGATGGATAGCACGTGAACCTAGTTGAAGGCTACCGAGGGTTCAAGGCACAGTTGAAGTTCCGAGCTTGTGTCATATCTAAGGATTATTGTAGATATATTTCACATCATACCTAGCAATGAAAAAAAGAATGGTCAATGAATAAAAGTTGGAACATTAAATTATTGTGTTCCGGTCAAAAACACGGTATCCTAGTGCAGATAAGACTACTGTGAAATTCGTTATTATCAATCGACGTAATCGTTGATTCCACAGGGCTATAGGATCTTCCAGGTATCAATTCTGTCAACATTATGATGCTGAAAAATTTGCAATCGGTAACGCACAACCTCCCGGAAAGGAAAATCACGAGCTCGAATCTGGCCCGGGGGTCAAAGTTTTACACATATCTCAGCGTCATTGTGGTCGCATTTCACATCGTACTCCGCCGTGAAAAATGATAATAGGCGGTAACTAAAAAGTCGAAATTATGCTTCCTACCAACATTTTTGTATATAGGCCGACCATGAGGAAGCCATCCAGTCTTAAAAAGCAGTGGTTTTTTTGCGACTCCTAAACAGTTGTCTGAAGAAATTACTTACCAATTGAAGGAAGCTCTGATAATTGAGGCCAAAAACTCTGCCTGGTTGGTTGGCAGTATATACCTCGATATAAATATCCTTCTAGAAATTTTCAATTTTCAGTTGTTTGTTATTACATATGGTTTTCTCTTGTCTGTAGCTTTGCGATTATCACCCTATTTATGCGTACGGGATTTCAGGCGACATTTTGCCAGATCAATTAGTTCGAGAATCTTTAATGATACACGAAATCTACTGATCATTATCGATAGAGAGCAGTCAGAAAGAGTTCAGGTGAGGAACAGTTTCTGATAACGTAGAAATACCTCACTTCGAACAGCTAGCATCCATTATTGAAAATATCAGTTCCATTTCAAGTACCCTATTTGCGTCGCTTGACTCACGAAAAGGTAGCGGAACATCCGAACATGCACCGAGGAATTTTTTAACATTTAGAAAATTGTAGCGATTTCACATTGCTAGCATATTTAGCACCGTAAAAGTGAACTTTAGGCATTCTTAGCTGGAACGTATAGCACATGCACTCGATCATCTTTTTAATGAACAAATTCACAACTGTATGCATAGATTTCAATGCACGCATACGAAAAAATATTCACACCTTTTAACTTTGAACAAACACAGCTCAGTCTATATTGGAAATTTATCAATTGCATAAAAATTCAGTAGAATTTTCAAATTTTCAAAGCCAGCGATGAAATCCTGATTTTCTGGAGTCCACATAGCATGCTGTTTTTAACGATTTTTTACGTAACTGAACTGACATCCGAGTAGCATAAAAAGCCTTTTCTTCGACTTCCTGAGAAGGCGAAGGCGTCGAAACGTTAGCCGAATAAAGGTTTTTTATACTAACCTCATTTAAGCTCAATCATATGCAAAATTATTGATTATTCTCACCAAGGATTACTAAAAGTTGATTTTTAAAACGGTTTAACGTCTTGTGTTTGTTGAGTGAATCGGGCTTCGTAACACAAGAACTCGATGATTTCTCCGAATCCGTTGTAGATGTACACGACCACAGCGTATACGATGAAAAATTTTTTTAAAAATGATGTTCAGCTTTTAGGTCTTTTTTAAAGAAGGTAGTTTCGAATAAAGTTAAGAGTCAAAACAAAAACTTTGAAAAAGTTACCGGCAGTTGTCGAAAAACTAGAAGCCAGAGGCGTGATGCGCAGCTCTGCTAAGTTCATCACCGGCAGTGTACTGTAAACGTTACACGAATGACTACCGCTACAATAAGTAGCAATAAACTTATCCTCTATCCATTAAGGCACTTACAGTGCAGTTGTTAGCGATGTCCTGCAATACATATGTGTTCCCTGGTTCGATCAGGCTCCTCGGGCTTTTCAGGCATTGCATTTCTCCGGGTTTGAAAAATCAGTAGAGGAATTGTCTGAGAGGATTATAGCACTGATTTGATAAATCGATAAGGAACCGAAAGCCATTCCATATACCAAATATCCATTCAATCATCCCTGTGGAGCTACGAATGGAGTCTAATTTTTCGTCGAAATTAGCTAGCTTGATTAGGACAAACAAGCAAAGAATGCTAAGAGCATATGAAGGATTCCTATTACAGAAATAGTTCCTTCGTCACTTTTTAATGGGATTGTTTCTGTTCTTTACAAAAGATGACTGTACCAAACAGCTTACATTCCTTATTTCTGTTGAGAGAGACAACATTAACATAGCGAATGAACAGCCTGGGTAACTTTACCGCTATATAATTTGAATTTTTGCCGTTTTTCAAAAGTTTCTAAGGCATTAAGTCGAAGAATCCTAGTCCAACAACGCTGATTGGCTGGAGAATAACAGACGAATTGGTGTGGTGAATGCGATTTGTGTCGGATTCGTTGTCGGTTGACTGCAATCAGTTTCCTTTATCGCCTCAATAGCCGAACAACTAGCACTAATTGTGACCGAGTTACTCTGCCGAAGTCGTCAAAGACAACGATGGAATTCCAATCCTTACGTTAAAAAAAGCTTCTGTGTTACGAAAACGAGAACGAATTCACTCATTTGATTTGCGTTTGTTTTTCGTCATTTTTCGATTTCAAAACGGATGACGACTCAGTTCACACAGAAACAGTTGTAGAATCTCTTGAAAGCCGAGACGTTCCTGATTTGTAGATAAGAGTGATTCACAAGCTATACAACAACTGAATAGCCATCAGTGCACGTTCTCAAACGACATTACCGCTGACATAAAATGTCGCTTTTGACGATTAGATGCAATATCAGTTCAAGAAAACTGTTTATCACTTTCGTGGACATCACAGAAAAACTGGAATAGCATAACATGGGAAAGAAGGTCGATTGCTGACGGCTACATCACCTTTTCCATGTTGATGACAACATTCCAGCGTTATCAAACATTCGAGCAGAATGAATCTCGGCCAATTTGGAAAGGGCGACTTTAGAAAAACTTTTCTTCGGTTGAATCTAAGGAGGCGTTCTTGGTAAGATAACGTCTCGCTCTGACCAACAGTGGGTAAAAACTGACTTGGTAAACGACTGCACTTCTGCATGTCATTTTACAAGCCAGATATGCACCCAATAATGCCTAACGATCCGTAATGAAATAGGATGCATGGCGCATCGCTCAGGGATTGATCAACACCGTACATTTTATGCACAACATGCACAGGCTTTGACTTTTTCTGGCCCCGGCCATAGTTCGAACTCATTTGTGATAGATAAAAGCAGAAACTGAAAGGAAATCTTAACATAGCAGTGCATATGACTATTCAATATCCGTCGGAAGAAACCCATGACATTCTTTAGTGGGTATTTTGACCATTTCTCTATGAAACTGGTTTTTCGATAACTGATTTCTTCCTCGATAGGGTGTTTCAAAAATTCAGAACTTTATAGGTTTATAGAACAGGCTTGCTCTATCCCATTAACCCCCCCCCCCCCCCCCCCCCCCTCATCATAAATAACTCTTGAATAAAATTCTTTGAAATCTGAATATGTTTATAGCTGAAGTTTTCGAAACGTTGATGTAGAAATTTAAGTCTTAAAAATTCCAACAGATCGGTAGCTAAATATGAGCTCCGTTTTAGTAAAATCGAAGAAATATATGTCGTGAGCTCCCGAAAGTCAGCATTTTATCGTGGTAGAGCAACAAAACCTATAACTTATTCCTTTGACTTGTTGGTAAAGATTTTAGGATTCCAAAAGTTTTTACTTCAGTTAATAAGACTCACTATGGGTTGAGATATGTTCACTTAAATTTAAAAGTGGGCATTATTTTAATACTTTACGACTCCTATATTAGGTCACGCCTAATGTTAAAACTAAATCGGGCGAACAGAAGACCTCCATAGCCACTAAGTCGTATTCATGCGTACTAGTTACATATTTATAAGTTACTTCTCTATAATAATAAAATCCAGAAATAAAGCTGAATTAAGCCAAGTCGGATTTCTCATAGAACCAAGCCTTTTTTTCGTATTCACTCAGTTGGCGTGCCATAAAGAGGAGGGATTTGGCGAATGAAGCAATAATAGAATTGTTGCTGTTGTTTTGCAAGTATTTTCGGCCGGCTGCCCACTGTTAAATTAACACAAGTGAACATAGCAGACGTCTGTTTTGCTCACATAATGACAAATTATTGATACCTAAGCTTGATGGGATAAGTATGGCACAATGGATAGAGGTGTCCTACAATGGGCACATGGTCGTTAGTTTCATTCACGTTTCCAGCAAGCAAGAATCCTCTATTCCTATAGGAATTGAAAATTGATAAGTTCTCGTCCTTGAAGTTAAAAGCGCTGTCTTATAGCTTGGTAGGCCCAGAGTAAGTCGTAAAGGTCAGATATGCATCCAATCACTTCCGCAGTGCTACGAATGAACCCAAATGGTCGGCACATCGCTCAGAGATTAATCACTGCCGCGGGATTTATCCTTGATCTTTTTTTAATTTCTAACTAGATCGAAATTTGTACATGCATACTGTTCTCCATATAAAACTCAGTATATTCTTTCTTCAGTCAGCCTCGAACACTTCTTCGGAGCCTCGAAAACAAGCATTTCAGATCCAAAACGTTTTCAGTTTCACAGGGACATTTTCACAAAAATTTCAGGAGGATTCAAAAGTGCTAATTAGTTAAGGGCTCAAAACGATAAATCTAGGTTTCGGAACGAGTGAATTATGTCTGTTCTGTAAATCTGTTGGGTCCTGAGCTCCTAAAATCCTCTAATTACCAAGCATTTATACCAAGCAGTCATTTGTCGAAAAACCAGCTTCGCTGCAAAAAAAAATTAATGATTAGTCCAATTACCTGCCAGTGGCCTAGTTCAACTAAATCCTCTTTTTGTAGATTATCAAGTGCGGAGCATTTTTGAGGACCACGATCGAAATTATATCTGCGTCGGGCAAGCTATCCTTGAGTCCAAAGCTGTGGTAAAAAAAAGTCCTGTGATAAAATAAACCACTGAAAAGAAAACGAATTTGGTACAATGCACTTCGTCCACTTTGCCGCCTCGCGCATGCATTACACACCTGAGGTGTTAAAAACCTTAACCCTTTTAGGATATGATAATACAAGTAAATGAATAATGATTGCTTGGTCATAGTAACTGCATGAACCAGTAGAATGTAATTATTTCAGCAACTGCTGGTGGAATCACTGAAGAGGTATGAAGATCGTGTAGAAATGCGAGCACCAGACAGAAATGAATGGACGTTTCTAAACGCTTTTAACTACGCCTACAGCCTTTTACTCACACTTGGACATGGAGTGAAAATCCCTGAAACGAGCGGTGGTCAGGCATGTCATTCTACAAAATTCTACTTAAGGAACTTTACTTAAGGAGGAATAGCATTGTTTTTTTTATGAAAAACCCTGAAAATTCATGTCTTATCCAAGTCTATGATGAATAGTAGTTTAATACATCAACACTTCGGCAGTTCAATAGCTCGTCTTCAATTGCGACTGTCGAAATCAAGGTTATTTTCCACGGATTATCAGTCCTTGTTCATAAATCAATTCGGACTGCGAATATGGTTGGGTCTTTTAAGTACAAACATGCCCACATTTTGTTGATGGGTATCCTAAAAAATATTGTATAGCAAAGGGCACGTGTGACGCAGTGGTTGGAAGCGCCACTGCGACACACACATGGAATCAATCCCCACACCCATGGCCCACCAAGCCTTGCATCCCTCCAGGGTCGGCAAATTGGTACCGGACGTGTCTGGAAGGATAACAGCACTGGCTTGATACATCGGTAGGCCACCGCGAGCTATTGTAAAGGCCAGATACGCATTCAGTCACCTCCAACGATACTTAATAAAATCGAATGCATGGCGCACCACTCAGGGATTGATCAACGCCGAGAGATTTGTTCTTTTATCCTTTTTAATGCGTATTCTCTAGGATTCTCTACAATTCACTGCATCCTTTTTCTTGCACATATGTTGCATGGCATAAACGGCTAGGCCAAACCTGAATTTTTAGCGCGCCTGAAAGAATCGAAGACGAGACAATAGCTGAGTTTAGAAACTACGAGGTCTAATTTGATATGGAAGGCGTTGGTTATATTTGTGGAAGATGTTCGGGAAAAACGGTGCCGATGTAATTTTGCTTTCATGAACAAAGCACATCCTTGAAAAGCGCCTTCTGACTTACACTGGGAGAAGTCAGAACTTACTAACTCTGAGAATCCAATGGGTAAACATTTCGCCTAAACAAACGCCTAAACGTAAACATAAAACATAAACTAAATGTTTACAGTTCTTAGTCTTTCTCAAGGTCGACGTGTTGCCTCACAGTGGGTGTGTATTCCATTCTCGGAACATTAGAGGGTATATGCCATCCTCTGGGATAATCATCATCAAGATGGGACAAATTTTTTGTGTCTCGCGTCAATCAAAGCTATGCAGAGTTGGGACTCATTTATGTACAATGAACGGTAATAACAAACATCTAACATGTGAATATAAATGTGGTTTATCAAATGTAAATAAACCAACCACATTTGCTTTTGTATTTCTTACACAAAGGAATATTTTTAAAGATATTTTTTACGTAGATAATGGAACATATCTATGGAAAACTTAGTGGCAATGATAGAACATGGCAAAGACGATCAGAAATGCATTTGGCGCGGTCACGATGAACACGGCCAAAGAGAACCTAAGGTGGAATGCATTATGAAGAAAATCAGAACCATATCGTTCACCAGTGAAGTAAAACACGACAGTGTAGCTAGAAAGAAAACCATAATTGAGAAAGAAATTACCTGTTATTACTATTCGATATTTTCTCTTTACTTTCTTTCTTTTCTTTTCATTGCATTATCTTACATTATCAACGCGTAGACGACCCCGTGGCAATTAGCCTTCTTATTCCTCCAGTTGACAACTTGTTAGCAGACTTGTTTATGAAAAGTTCCCACCGATTCATGAAGGCTGCTGGTGACTAACTGCAGTGAACACCTGAAAACGCTCTAGCATTGTTATATTTGGATGCTTGAAAACCTAGATGGTCCGTCTTCCCGGTTGTGCGGGCCCCAACATAATTTCCATTCTCCAAAAACTTGTTGGTTTAGCCACTGTGGCTCCTTGCAGTGCAGTTCCAAGGTTTGCCTAGCCAAAGCCTTTCTCGGGTCCTCACCATCTCAATGCGGTCGCCGCCCTTCTGGTTTAAATGGATGTTTTCCACCATAGGGCACGTGTGGAGCAGTGGTTGGAGGAGCCGATGCGACATGCATGTGGAACCGATCCCCGCGCCCGTGGGCCACCAAGCCTTCCATCCCTCCAGGGTCGGCAAATTGGTAGGATAGGAGGATAGGAGGATAGGATAGGATAGGAGGATAGCAACACTGAGGCGATACATCGGTAGGCCACCGCGAGTCGTTGTAATGACCAGATATGCATTCAGTCACCTCCAACGATACTTAATGAAGTCGAATGCATGGTACATTCCTCAGGAATTGATCAACGCCGAGAGCTTTATCATTCATCCTTTTTGCCACCATGCGACTAACCTGATACCAGGACGGTAGTGATTTCTAATATTGGTTTATTCTTGGCTAGGTTTCCAGATGGAAGCATCGGAAATCTTCTTATTTTGAGAGACTCCTCTGGGGCTATGAAACCACTATTATTCATGGCAACACGATATCCAGGAACAACTCTCAGCCACGATGAGATGGTAAACCGTTGGGATGAGCACGACTATTCCAGGGATAAATTAAGAAATCGAGTCAACCATAATTCTATAAAGGCAAAAATGAAAAAAATCCTCAGGCAGAAGCCGAATCTACTCATAAAATTCGAATATCTTTGTGGATGGATGTGAGGAAAGATATCAAATGGAAGAACTGCTGGGATCCATACTACATGCAGCATCGGTTCATATAATGGGAATATGTGTTTAGAAATTATGTAAATATAGGAGTGAAAAGACTACGGATCAAAGGATTTGTATACAGTAATCTATATTTCCAGATCTTCGCTCTTATCTATTGCGTACTTGGTGTACCGTTGTTGTTCGGCACGATCGCTACTCTACTACTACACTGCATCAAACCACTACTGACAGTAAGTTGTTCACTAAGTTAACCATCTCAGTTGTCCTTCATCTGACGGACTTTCGATGCTGCCTAATCAATATCGACCATTTTTTAAAATATGTATGTGCGTCAGTCTCGTACTTCCAACTTTCTATCAATACTTAGAGAAACAATGTTCACCAGTCGGCCATTGTCATGACGTAAAAGCCATAGTCACCTGCTTAGTTGCTAGGTTAAATGAGAATATTTAAAATAGACTTCGAACTTCCCTCATGTGAAAATTGTCGAGCCGGTTCCGTGAGAGAGAGAATTCGCGGAATGTGGACATATGGCAGACTTAATGAAGTCGAATGAATGGCGCATCCTTCATGGATTGATCAACGCCAAGAGCTTTATCCTTTTTTATCCTTTATACAGATAGAATCGTTATCTATTTAATTTACAGAACAAGATGTGCACTCTGAATCGCCGCATGATTTTCTTGCAGTCGACAGTAATATTCTACATTTTTTGGAACCTTCTAGTTGCTGTTCTTCTCTACTATCAGGTAATATGGTAACCTCTTAGCAGTACTACTCTTGTACTCCATTATGCAAAAGGTTTATAACGAAGGATGGTGTTTTCTAAATACTTCACTACTGACACAAATAGCTGCATGGCTTATGGTTATCGGTTGGATACGCAACAGTGAAGTGACGCTGGTGGTTAAAGTAGTTTAAAGTGCGATGAAATTGAGATCCCTCTTCGTATTTGATCCATCATGAAATTCATGCTACGAAATTCTAACGGGATGCATTTCAACATTTCCTGTAGTGATATGTACGAGCAACAAGTTCTATGCTTGAGGCAGCATAGGATACATGAAAAATAAATTTTCCATAACTATCTCTTTTCAAAGGTTCAAAATTGCTATCTAAAATTAGGCAAATTCTTAGTGATATCTTATGAGGTAGGGTTTACATTGCTGAGTAAGTGTTAGCTAAAAATTTTGAGTGGAGGAATTCTCAGTGAATATACAGAAGAAGAACCTGGGACCAACTTTTACAGTTCATGTATGTATATACTTGTGTAATTGCTTAAATGAGGGATCCGTAGCCAGTTATTCGTGAAAAGCTTAGCGCCTCGTAAATGTAGTATATATATAATATAAAATAGTATAATATATGGCGGATAGCCAAACTAGGATCAGCGACGGTCCGCCTTGAAGAACCTTGGCAGGGCGTCAAAGTTGGGTCAGCTAACGGTCGTCTTCTCTTTTCACCATATGACTGGCCCATTGACGTTTATTTCATTAGAAGAAGGATTCCGCTAGGCCTTGAACACATGGTGCATCTTCAACGATTTGAACTATTAGAGCCAGCTCGGTTTCCGATAAGCATTTATTCTTCGGAAGACCTCGTCCAAATGTCCTGTGTATTGAAATTTTTTCAATGAGCTTGAAGTATAAACCGTTGTTTATGCCAACACATCACTGGATAAACTACTCCGTGAAATAAATGAGCGCGTATGTCAGAAAAGTAAGTTTATCAATAGCTCGTATATAATGCTGAGATATTTGCAAAATTCCGGACTGCAGGTGTATGCGGTGGGGAACGAACGCGCGCTATTGTCCTTACCGGGGAGTAGCGCACTTCACCACCACACCATCCGGGTCCTTCGTTTTGCCTGTCTCTCAG